TACATACATAAATAACCCGATTGGCCAAAGCTGTAGCCAAATACAGGTTTAAGTAAAAACTGATCGAACCACTTTAAGTTGCATATGCGAGGGTTGTTTTATGTTATGCAGAGAGATCAAAGTTAAGCTAAACCATAAAGTATATGTATGTAAGCAGGGAAAATTGGTTGAATACCCAAGGATATCGGAAGTATTAAGTGGAAGATGACAAGCACAAAAATTTAAATCCGGATCGAGAGTGTAACCCAACGATTCCTGTTTAAGACTAATGTTTGCATTAATAGCGAAAGTCGATAACAATTACCCTTTGCAGCACAAACTCAAATCATACAGTGCCACAGAAAATACATACATATGTATGTATATCGACTTTACCAGTATTTCATAAAATGTATTATTCGCTTATTGGTCAAATAGATCGTATTATGGTAATTATTTGCTACTGCGATCATACTGTGAAATCGATAGTCGTGATTGGTGAAAGCTTTTAATTGTTGCACAGAATACAAGCAATTGTTTGTTTTGATCATTAGAGTTTTAAAATATTATTAAGACACACGAATGCCAATAACATTTGATTTTAATAAATATGGTGTTTTAGAAATATTACAATATGCCTATATACATATACATATATGTATGTAGCTAATATAATCTTAAAGCTGTAGTTTCTATTCAAAAGAACAATGTTATGTTGGCTTAAAATTCCGTAGTATTTTCAGCACCTCGATTTGAAAGTCTAGCTTCTGATCACTGGTCATGCGCTGCATGTGCGGTTTAATGCTATCGAAAAATGCCTGATCTGGATCCGGATCAGCAGCGATAGCTGTTGCAGGAGGCGCCGCTGAACTGTTCAGTTCCGCAGTGTTGGAGATGTTCGTTTCGGTTCCCTTTGCGACAGGCAGGGATGCGTCGGTGTCTGTTGTGTAATTTAAGTGATCCAGCACCGAGTTGATACCGTCCTCCGTCAATGTTGTCTCATTATCTTGCTCTGCTGCAGGGTTCTCTGATGCACGACGCCGTTTTACCGGCGTTCGTGATATGCGAAATTGTTTGCGTTTCTTCGGTTCATCTTTTTGTGTGTTTGTGTCGTCCTCTGCTTTGACATCGAGCAGGAAGTTCAGCTCCTTCTCGTAAATGTAGGAGGCGCGGCCGATCTCTTCGCCGCTTTGCCGTAACCGATTTACACGTAGGTAACTGTCGCGCGTGTTCTTCCAGCGTTTGAGCAATGTTTTTGCTACAACACATTTAAATCAGATTTAGCTAAGTTCAATTTCTAATCCATCGTTGATTAATTTACCGATTTCCTGTTTCTCTGCACTGCTCGCCACCTCGAAATTCTTGCACAGCTGTTGGCCAATCTCTTGCCAGGCCAGATCGCGAAGCTCGCGGTTGTGGAAATTTTCATGCTCTCGATCCCAAATGATGTGATGTTTCTTCACAGCCTCAATAAAATCGTACATGGAGTACCTCAGATTAATTCCAGCGGTTTTCAGCACTTTGTGATTGCCCATCGCAATAAAAATTCGTTTGTTTATGCGGCAAATTTGTATTTGTGTATGTGATTGTGAACAAAACGCGCGCGTAAACAACGTGCTGGCTACAAAAACAGCTAAGAACTGACGCTAGACGCGTGCGAAAAACGCTAGCAAAGCGCACGACAATCGCTAATGGGGCTGCCAGATTGCTAGAAAAAGATATTTCGGGTGTTGATTCCAGCAAATTAAAATTTGATATTTCTTTATTTACATTTGAAAGCTTAATTATCCGCCAAGCATTTAGATTTTCAATAAAATGCACTTTTTGTGTTATGAAAAAAATGTTTCATTTTTGTTTATTAGACATAGGTCAGTATTACATAAATTGTTCAATAGGTGCAACAAAAGAGTCTGCGTTTTATGACAACTAATACATGTGACAGATTGTTAGGCGAAGCTAGCGATGCAAGTGAATGTTTGAGAAACGCAGTGATTGTGTGTAGTAGTTGATGTTGTGTGTTGTGTTGATTTTAACTGATTTTTCTTTTTTAACATTGTATTTTTCTGCTTTACATGGGCCTGCCCATACCACGGCCCATACCCATGCCCCCACCAGCCATCGGTGGTTCACCGGCTTTGGGGCTCTTTATTGTCTCATCCACAGAGAGTATCATGCAAGCGGCCTCTGCGGCAGCGGTGAGTGCATTTATCTTAATAATCGATGGCTCCCACACGCACTGCTCGAAGTTATCAGAAATGTCTTCCTTGGTGATGTCAACCCCGAACCATTGGCCACCTTAAAGTAAACAAACAAATAAAATAAATTATTTGAAAACACAACTTACAAATATATCGATACATTAAATTAATCGTGTAGGTACCCTCATCGCTAC